CCTTTTGTTGTATGCTTTGTATTGTTTTTGAAGTTTTTCTCATTTGTAGTCTCATTTCTCCACTTCTCATTTGCAGGTTCCCGAGCCATTGGATTTTTCGAGGAAAAACATAATGAGTCTGGTTGACCTACAAGATCTCTTGGTGAAATTGTTCCGCAGAGATGTTCATGTAAGTAAACGACCATTTAACAGAAAAAAAAAGAAGAAGAAAAAGAGAAGGGATAATTGAACATAATCCAATTCTACTATGATTTGTAATGAGCCCAACTTCAGATGCCAATGATTAGATGGCATTGAAATCCCATCCATCCATTCATTGCAAAGCTGTCTATTAAAAGTTGGAAAAAAAAAGGGCGTAAATACTAAATCCATGATAGCAACCAAATAATCCAAATTGAGACAGGAGATGAGGCCCTGTTTTGAGGCTGGGGAAAAAAAAAAAAAAGTTAATTGGAGAATCTTGATTGTGAACTTTTGTGGTTGGCTTAAATCTGAAGTTGCACACACAATCATAAGGCCTTGTTCTGAGCCAAAAAAAAAAAAAAAAAAAAAAAAAAAAAAAAAAAAAAAAAAAAAAAAAAAACAATTGATACCGTCCGAGTATTGACCACCAAACGGCATTCAACAACAAGAAAGAATCAATGTGTGAAGAAGACTAGCAAAAAAACACGGAGAAATATCTTAAGAGCTAGAAATAATATATATAAAGAGTCCGAGCCGATGCGAGTTAGAAATAATATCATTATTATTAAATAATAAAAGACACGAACAACAATGACTACAATGTTCAAGTAATTTGCATGTCGATGCTGATCGTACCATAGAAAATAGCACTCAAAGCAGCGTTGATGTTCACATAAACGATGAACTGTACAATAGACCAGAGACTTCAAAAATGAAACGCAAACAAGCAGTACTTCGAAAGTGACGAAAGACGCGAAGCTCATCATCGAAGCATGCACTTCGCGACAAAAAGTCGCGCGCTGGCTATCCCCGACGCGTTTCGGCTGGTGCCAGAGCCAGCCATCCTCAGGGGGGCGTTTCGAATCGAAAGAGGCCTATACTGTTACTATCCTATCTATTAATAGCCGCCAATCCTACTCCAAATTTGTCTCAGTTCTACCAAAAAAGTTACCAACCGGTCCCAGCGTTCCAGTTTCCTGTGAAGGCCCCGGTTCCCGAACCTTCCGCGTCTCAATTACAATCAGACCCTTTACTCACTACTTACCCCTAGACCTACTTTCACTTCGAACTCTTATGGTCCCTGCTTCCTACCCAGCCCCAAGCGTCACTCTATGGGAAACCTGGCCCCAATCCGGGGCTTTCCTTCTCACAAATTTCAACAACACTCCATTGAACATTGCCCCAGGGTACGATTGCCTCCGCAGTTCACGATTCAGTGATAGCAGACTTTCCTCCGCCCTTTCCGCGGAGGATGTGCACTCTTTGATCTTGTGGAGCATCCCATTAATCAAGTTTTTTTCCTGTTTAATGCACGTAAATGAACCAAAGTCCT